CTAATTTCACGGCTTAACACCACCCCACCGCCCCCGATTCTGCGGGCCGGGGGTGCGGGCCTAACACCACCTGACACCCCCCCCGATTCTGCGGGCCGGGGGTGCGGGCCTAACACCACCTGACACACACACACCCCGGTTCTGCGGGCCGGGGGTGCGGGCCTAACACCACCTGACACACCCCCCGATTCTGCGGGCCGGGGGTGCGGGCCTAACACCACCTGACACACACCCCGATTCTGCGGGCCGGGGGTGCGGGCCTAACGCCCCCCACCCCGCGGGCTCTGCGGTGCTCCACACGGCGGTGGCCGGAGAGGCTCCCCCGGCTTCAGGCCGCACAGGCAGTGCGTGGGGCCTGCTGCCGGAGGCCGCCTCCATCCTCGGCCTGCGACCTCTCCCCGCCGCCGTGCTGTCCCCTGCGGGAGCGCCTCCCCCGTGTGACCACACTGAAAACGATACTGATCCAAACTCTTAGAAATTGCCCACCCAGCTTCTCGGCGTCACATCGAGCCCGGGGCAGTCACGTGCACTGCCCCCCCCCCCCCGCCCCAGGCCTGACTCTCCCGAGCGACAGCAGAGTGACCCGGCCTCGGCCGCCCCACACGCCACTTGTCACATGGGTCGAGGCAGCTCACAGAACCGCAGATTCGAGGGCCGGGATGTGAACTCCAAAGCGAAGAGCAGAGAGGCGCTGGAAAGGGTGCAGAAGCCGAGAACGCTTCCCGGGCGGCGGGGTCGGCAACTGCCGCCCCAGCAAGTCCGACTGGGAGCTGTCAGGGGGGAAGCCCTTGCCCGCGAGGACGCGGCCTCCGGCCAGGCCCCTGCCCCCGGCGGCCACGCTGCCTCACGCCCCTGCCCGCGTACCCGCTTCCCGCACCCGCGCGAGGCAGGGACGGCCGTTCGCGCCGACCCCGTCCGCCTCTCGCTTGGCCACGCTTCGCAACGTCAAAACCGGCCAAAAGTGACCTGATGACGACATCCCCAAATTGCCACCGCCGACCACACCTGCCCACCTGCCGGCAGCTTATCTGCACTCCGCCTCCCCTCCTCGCGGTGGAGCCCCCGCCGCGGAATGCCCTCCAAGGCCCCAGGCCCCCAGGGCGCGGCCTCCTCAACACGCTCACCCGCGGCGACGCTTACGTCACACGCCAGGCAGAGTAAGGGCCAGGCCAGAGTGATTATAAACAGGAGAGACGGTAGTAAGTGTTAGGGAAATGTGGTCTCCGGGCTTCTCAAAACAGTACTCGCCCTTCTTCCCGTGGTGATGGGAGGTGATAAAGTGGCTGCAGGAGGCGCGAAGGACCAGGAGGGCAGCCGCCTCTGGACCGCGGGGGCCGAGGGGAATGGAGCGTGCAGGTGAGGGTCTCCTGTAGGTGCGTGTTCTTGGTCCCCTCCCCCTGTGAGATCACACGCCCGTCACCGGTGGTCCTTCCTCCTTCCATTTCCCCACGTCTGTGGATCATTCCTGTCAGCGCACAAAGTGGCACCATTTACCTTCCAGCAACTGGCCCGTTTCTCTGTATGCATCCATTTCTTATCTTTCCTCTCTCAGGCTTTTGCCAATTATTTCACCAAAACTGCTTTTGTCAAGACCCCCGGCAGCCTCTGGATACTTCTCTCACTTGACCTGTAAGTACCTTTCTTACCCAGTTCTTCACTCACTCCTTGCTAATACAGTTTCCTAGTGGGGCTTCCAGAAGGTCACCCTCTTCTGGCTTTCCCTCCGCCTCGCCCTGGCTCAGTCTGCCCTGCCTGCCCCCCTTCTCTCGACCATCTGCTGTGCCAGTGCCCCAGGGATCTGCTCCTACGACTTCTCATCTTCTCCCTCCATGCTAACTCGCCGGGTGATCTCATCCAAGGTCAATACCATCCATTTGCTGATGGCTTCCAAACAAACAGTTCTAAGCCACGCCTCTTCCAAAGTTCATATACTAAAGTTCCTGTGTATTTTCTTCTTGCATATTATATTAAGCTTTCCAAAGCTAAACCCCCACTTTCTTACAACCCAGACCCTTGGTGATAGCATCTCTATCTTTCCATTTTCTCAGGCCAAAGGTTTTGCAGACACCCTAAACTCTCCTTGCTCACACCTTATGTTCCATCCGTCAGGAATTCCTATAGGCTCTCCCTTCAGAAAACAACCAGAACCATCATTTCCTTTGTCTCCACCTGGGCCACCACCATCTCTGATGTGGATTATTAGAACAGCCTTTCAACTAGTCTCTCTGCTTCCAATCTTACACCCCTACAGCCTGTTCTCAACACAATGGCCAGGTGATACTATTAAGATCTATGTAGATCACATTTTTCACTCTTCTGTCCCAAACCTTCCAATGGCTCCAAATTTCTCTAAGAAAACCAAAGTCCATGCAGTGGACCCACTCCCTGTTCTCTCTCTGACCTCCACTCTTACTAGTTTCTCCCCTCCACTTACTCAGCACGGGCGGCTCTTCCTCATGGCTTTTACAAGGCAGCTTCCTTTGCTGGAAGGCTCTTCCCCCAGCCTCTCCCCCGTTCCCCTTCAAAGCGCAGCGCAAATGTCTCCTTCTCAATGATGCTTGCCCTAATACTCTATTTTAAACCTGCAACCACACGCCTTCTCCCAGAGCCCCTGACCCCTGACAGTCTTCTGCTCTTCTTTTACCCCATGGCACTGTTCACCTTCTGATACACATACAGTTCTATTTCAGGTCTTTGCTTAAGTTCCGCTGAGGCAGGGATCTTTGTCTATTTTCTTCATTGCTTTATCTCTTTATCTACTCTACTGGGTACATAATATGTGCCTAATAAATATTTGTCGAGAGGTGCCTGGCTGGCTAGGTCAATGAAGCATATGATTCCAGGGTTATGAGTTCAAGCCCCATATTGGGTGTAGAGCTTAAAGAAAGAAAGAAAGGAAAGAAAGGAAAGAAAGAAACAAAGAAAGACCAAAACAGTTGAATAACTAAATGAGGTATTGGAACTATGCATATATTGTCTGTACCCGTACCAGAACCAATGCCAAAATAAACTCAAATACATCACAGAGCAGTTTGATAACCAACATTAACTATTCTGACATGACAACAAAGATAAATCATATCTTTCCTACAACCAGTTTCAGGTCAAAGTGTCAAATTATCAAAAGTCATAGTCTTTTTAAACCAAAATTTTTGTCTTATACTTTTACTTGTCCTGTATTTGTGAATATCTGAGAGGTTTAAAAATGAGTTTTGCACTATGAAAACTGAACAGGTCCTTCCTCTTTCACCCCTAATTCCCTTCAGTAGGAATGTGGTGTGTGGAGCGAGGCGCTGTCATGAAGCTATTCGGCATCTTACTGACTGTCCACCTCTGAGAAATGGGGGTGATAGTCATGTCTTCACCACAGACCGCTCTGAGAGCTGGGTCAGCAGATGCAGAGGCCTTGTGGCAGGGTCAGCCCATCACAGCAGCATGTAAGGGTTAGCTTTTAGTACTGAAACTCTAATTTTGAAATTTATTGTCAAATATACTTCTATGGGTTTTTAACTTGGAGTGCAGATTCAAAGATAGGGGGAAGGGTATGAAGTAACATAATTTTTCAATAGTAGCTAAGTAAGCTAATAAATTATATACTTAATATTAAAGAAACCAATATATTTGTATTATACCTAATGTTTATTTCATTCTAAACCTTCTGAGGGGGAGAACCGCTCTATTAAAAATACAGTGGCCCCAAGTCACAAATAGAGCTCAGTCCGTCTCAGGGATATGCAGTAAACACTTAATGGTAACACTTCAGAATTCTCAAAAAGGGTATTCAGTGTTTTGTTCTGGTATCTCTTGGCAAAGGAAACCGTGTTTTTGGCCATCATGTCTTCCAGTAGTGGAGGCTGCGTATACAACTGCTATTTGCAAGGTTAAATCTATTTAAAGCCAAGGACTCATTTAGCCTCTCCTATGAACATTTTATCCCTTGACTAAATGCATTCATCAAAAACAGCATAGATTTGTAGCTCTGCTATTTCATAGCTTAATGGATTTTTGTTTGATTACTGTATTGATTTTTTAAAGATGTAAATATGCGTGGCCTACTTGCTGAAATGCTTTTTCTTAAATGGAATAAAATTCAGAGCACTGTTTTCTGTTTTCCCCTTTTTTGTCCTTGTTCCTTTTTCACCACGTTAGAAAGACAAATCAAAGAAACATCTGATACGCAGGCTGAGTCGGCACAGCCACGTGACACTCTCGAGGCAAGCAGAGCCCCAGGTGTGACCTCTGACTTGATACAGAAGGTGATTTTGCAGTCAGAGACTAGCAGGTGCTGGACAAGGAAGTGCCACATACAAAGTCATCTACCTGGAATCTTTAGATGCGCCATCCCTAGGCTGCCAGAGAGAGGTTGTACCCACTGGGAAGTCCATCATAAGGAAAGGGCAAGTCATTAGAGGTCCTGTTCACAAGAGTTATGGACTCTGCAGCCACCCAATAAGAGACACCAGAATTAAGAGTGTGCACAGAGTGGGGTGCGTGCTTGTAGCGTGAGGCTGGGGAAGCAGCAATGGCCACCCTGGCCTCTGTGAACTCGTCTGTCACCTGACCAACTGTGGGCAGGTGTGGGAGTGGATAGGGACTGGATATGGGTGTCCATCAGCCAAACTCAAGGAAAGCTGATCTAGACCAAAGGGACCATCAGAAAAGTTACAATAGAGGTTGCCCTTCACCTGGATAGCTCAGTCATTAGAGTGTTGGACTCGACTTCAGCTCAGGTCATGATCTCATGGTTCATGAGTTCAAGCCCCATGCTGGGCTCTGTGCTGACAGCGAGCAGTCTGCTTGGGATTCTCTCTCTCTCTCTCTCTCTCTCTCTCTGCCCAACCCCTGTCTGCACTCATGCTTGTGCGCTCTCTCTCAAAATAAATAAATAAGCTTTAAAAAGATGTAGGTTGCCTTTTTTGGGAGCCTCTGGTGAAGAAAGGGTTGGGCTCTGACCCATCAGAAGCCCTAAGAAGCAGTGGCAGTAAGACTGGTGATAGTGGTTACTGAAGGGCAAGGTTGATGTTCGTGATGAAAGCAGCAAAATGACCAGCCAGGAGATCCAAGGCAGACGTCGAAGCTACACATTCCAGTGAGAGCCGCGGTACACAGGGCACGGTGACAGGTACCTTAGGTCTACTTCTCGGCGGCCATACCACACTCTCCTCTAGGAGTGAAGAGGGGAGCAGTCTGAGGCAGGGTGGTCACCACGCTGTCTGAAGATGTACAACCAGTAAGATGACCCCACGACAGAGCCTACAACCATCTCCCTGGGACCACACTGCCTCTCTGCAGATTTGTATTAACCAGATTATCAAACTGATCACAACGCCCACTTTAAGGAAACCACATTTGGTCAATGTTTTCTATCTTATTAATGGAACAAATTTAGCCATGGTTCAACATTACAAGGTTATCATCTGTGAGAATTATTATTGAAAAGGGAGCCCTTCATTAACCAGAATGTCTCAAAGCTTGAGAATGATTGAACTACATTATCGATCAATTCTGCAGATGAAGAGTCTACTAGCTGACTGTAAATTAAAAATACGCTTGCTCCAGAGAGATAAAAACAGCCAATACAACTTTACTGCTGTTTTGATTTCTCCTTTGCTTTTCTATTATTTAGAGAAGCACAATTGATTTTTATTTCCTCTTTCAAATTACCTTAGTCAAGAAACAATGAGAGATAGGATCCCTGTAAGGGTTTTTGATTTGTTCACATGACTGGAAAATCAGTTTGCTGATTTGCAAAATGTAGGAATGCTTTCCAGTCATATGAGGTCAAGATATAAAATACACTTGGAGGAAAAATGCTAGTAATTGCTAATAGGACTGTTATTAAAATAACATAATAGGATAATTTCTACGTTTTGTAAAAGCTACCCTGCCTAAACTGAAAGCTATCACAAAGGGCCGTGAAGGGAACACGTGACCCGTCACGAGGTCATGGCGGGCGCACACATCAGTGTTAGGACCCGGAGGCGTGCTCACGCGGCGGCAACGCGGGGCCTCCGCGACCCTCTCGCCTCCCCGCCCTCCCCTCGCGAGCGGCACGTGCGGGCTGGGGCTGGCCGGGAGCAGCGCCCGGGCTACCGAAGAGCAGAAGAGGAAGAGCAGCCCGCGCGCGCTCCCTGCCGCTGGGCAACGGCGCGCCCCGAATCCGGGGGTCCCCGCCAACCACGCGGTGCGCCAGGAGCGCGGCAGGGCGGCCCGCTTCCCACCTTGCTGCCCCGCCAGGCGGCGCCCGGCCTGAGGCTGGGAGGGCGGCGTTCTGCTGCTCTGCTGCTGGCGGAGGCTGGCGTTTCGCCTCCGTGTCCTGTCGGGACAGTCGCAAGACCTGCCCAGACTCAAGGAGGACAAACAGCCTCCTTCTACTGACGGGGCAGCGCAAGGTCACACGGGGACAGCGGGGCGGTGGGGAGGGGAGGCTGCGGCGTCTTCGGAACATCTAATCTTCCACGATCTCACACCTCTTTTGATCTGTATCCAGGGGTGTCCCCACCACACCAAACTGCCCCACAGGGACAGTAACAAGGAAGAATCACACAGCGCGTGACTTTAAACCCTCTTGTTCAAGGCTGGATTCTGTGCATCTGAGGAAACGTCTCATACAGCCATGTTGTAGGGAATCTGTGCTGCTTTTCCTAAGCATGCGGATTTAATTATGCTCAGAAAACTGGCCCAACCTCCTTCTTTTTTAAGAGAGAAAGTTGACAGAGTATTAAATCAGACCATGATGTGCATCTCAGGCCATCTGCAAAGACGTGATAGACCCAGACACTTCTAACGCGGACGCTGCTAGAAATTTGTGTTGCTCAGTCCTGACAGCCGCTCGGCCGTCAGGCCCGGCTTCCCACCACCCAGTAGGCGACTCCACTGTCCTCACCAACTTCCAGCGCTGGCCCACATACTCCAACCCACCTTCCTGCCAGACAGGAGCCGCTCATTCCTCAGAACGTGGCACAACCTAAAAACACCCAGACCCCTCACCTTCCCTCACCACCCTCCTTCTCCGCTAAGCAAACAATACAAATGGACAAAAGTCCCCACATGTATAAAAGCCCAGAGAAAAGGTGTAAGCGGGAGCAGAGAACTCGGCTGGGTGAGCAAACAAAAGAACACCGCCTTGTAAGACTCAGAAGCTGTAAATGAGACGCTGGAATGGAAAAGAACAAAAGGCAGCTGGACGATAGGCAGAGGTTCCTGAGGAAGAGGGTGAGAGGGCGGGGTTCATCCTCCAGATGGGCATCTTGAAGCAGCGAAGAGGAGGGGCCGGGGGAGGGGGTGACACGGGTACCAGTCCTTTCTATGGCCAAAAGATGTCAAGAACCAGGGCTCGGCGGAAATGGAATGGAACAGTGTGGAGAAAACACTAAAGAAAGAAAATTGAAAAGACTGATGAGATTTGGGGCTAGGGGAGAAGCAGGCCATCTGCGTCGGAGCGTCCCGCGGAGCCTTTCTGTGGGAGCTGTAAGCAGCTCCCTGTGCGTGAGCTTAGGTCGAATCAAATGACCTTCGATGTCCTTGCCTCCCTGAGAAAGTTGTGCCTCATGCTTGTGAAGAGTGCCTTGAAATAATAGTTATTACTTTAGTCAGTGATGCTGCAAAACCATTTTGTTCTCTGCATAAAACAAAACTCACGTTTGGCTTTCTTTATGGCATAATTTAAAATACTGTCCGAAGTGCACATGCATGAGTGGAAACAAGTGTAATCGAATGGCCAACACAGAGAATGCCGGGTGACACCCGTCTTCCTGACTGTCCCTACAGTGCTCTGCTGTCATGCTGGCAATGAACTACAAGGCAATCACTAGGTTTCTGCATCTGCGCAGGAAAGAATCTTCTTCTTTTCATTACTCTCAGTGCTGAGGCTGTGTCTTTTGGGTTTTCATTGTCGCTTTGTTTTCTAAGGTTCCTTACCTGACTTCTGCTCATTTTCATTTGATATTACTGTTTTCAGGAAAAAAGGAAATAGTAAATAATTGTGACTTAGTTGACAAACTAAGTGTAAAAAGTGGCTAAAAATGTTTTCATGTAGAGCTCGGTTCCTGTGAAAGAACGGCAGCTCTTACACACAGTAAGCACGACACCTTTAAACACAAAACAGAGCAGAAGTGAACACCTCACCTCGCCGACAAGGGGCCATTTCAAGGGGGTATGATGCTGGCAGGACCCTCACTGAGCAAATTTTTTAAAAATTCAAAACAAATTTAGGACTTATTCAATCATAAGTCATTGATACAGGCCATAAAGTCCACATGGTAGAGCCTCAAATTTTTGTTGAATAAACAATGGTAATTAAAACAGATAAACAACAGACTTCATGCCCAGAAGGAGGAAAATGATACTCCAGTTATTGTGTCATGGGGAGATCTCATTTCATACCTACAACACTGCAGATCACAACTGGGAAGACAGGAAATTCTCAGGGATGCTGACATTCCAGTGTTTGAACTGCATCTCCCGTACAGACCTTCCACTCTGTGGGTCACCCTGGCTCCTGTCATAATATTTGGAACACTGGGTATCAGTTTTCCACAGAGCTCTTCGAAAACACAACACAGCATCAGGGCCACGGTATTTCTACCTGGTGGGGTAACTCTATTACCTACATTAGATTGTAACACGATTGTAAACTGTGGTAAGACCATACTCCCTGTCTTCCAGAAATACACTTTGAAGCAGATAGAGATAAATGAAAAATAAAGTTCAAAGTGTTCCAAGAAAAACAGTCAAATTGTAACGACCTATGTGACGGATGGGATCATCTCTCAGGAATCAAACTTTCAAATTCTTTTCTTTTGCATCCCCTCGACCCCTCTTCAGAGCTCCTCATCCGCACATGATGGGCATTTCCTCTCCAATCCATTTGATGAAACTTCCAGGAAGAATGACTGTCCACCATCTCTCAAACTTGGGTCTCCTGTTTGTCTCAGAAGCGTTCCAAAGCCAAGGGCTGTGTTCTGGTTTTAAGGTTCAAAGGCTTTAAGTTTTCATATGGACAAGCGCTGATTCTGAGTAACCTACCTAGTGAGTTATGAAGGATTAATAAAATTCGATGTTCATAAACCAAAATTAGCACATCATGAGTTCACGGAGCATCTTGACTTCACACAATACTTAGAAACTGCAGACTTCCTCAATGTGTATGTGCATACGCTCATCACTGGAATGCCCAAAATTAGAGGAAAAATTGTTACTTTTTAAGTTATTTTGTGAGAGACAGAGACACCATAAGCAGGGAGGGGCAAAGAGAGAGGGAGAGAGAATCCCAAGCAGGCTCTGTGCTGTCAATAGAGCTAGATGCGGGGCTCTAACTCAAGAAACTCTGAGATCATGACCTGAGCTGAAACCAAGGTCGGATGCTCAACCGACTGAGCCACCCCAGCCCCCCAAATTGTTACTGTTGAATCGTATGTGTTGGTTTGACCTGGCTATAGTTTTTGACTGCCGTTAACTTACTATCTGTAAAAATTTCACTTTTAATGTTGTTTTTATCCTTTAGTGATTGATAGTTCCTTTTTTTGTTGTTATTTTGTTCACTTTCACTGTGGAACTCTCTTGCTCACTAGGGAGCACGGGGAGAGCTGTGAGTCAGGGAAGGGTTTTAAATGGAAGTGAAGTGGCTCCGAATCAACAGCACCTCAGAACCACTGCCCCTGGAGAGCTCACTTCCTGCTCGTAGATGTGAAGCTGCATTGGTGCCCTGTGTCTGCTCTGACGACACAAACGTCGTGGCTTACAACCACACAGATCTATTCTCTTATGGTTCTGGAGTTCAGAATTCCAAAGCCAGAGTCTGGGGGTTAAAATTCATTTCCTTGGTTTTCCAGTTTCTAGAGGGCTCCTTGGTGCATGGCTCCCTTCTCCCCTTCAAAGTCAGCAGGGAATGGTCTTCTGCTCACACTGAATCACCCTGATAGTCTCCTCCTCCCTCCTTGACTTATGAGGACAACCGTAATTAAAGTGGGCCCACCAGAGAGTCCAGAACAATCACCCCATCTCAAGATCTGAGATCCCGAATCGCACATGGGAGTCCATTCTGCCATGGAGTAGGGTAACATGTTCACATGCTCTGAGAATTCGGATATTCTCCCGCCTACTACGGAAATACAGTTAGCCAGCATATTCCTGGTACCTAAGAATATTTTCTGTTGCCAGAAC